CTTTTGTCCCCGGAGCTTTTTCTTTTTGATACATATGTAGCAAATTTTAGATTTGTCGTACAAATTGTCAAGGCAAAACGTACCTGCCCCTCAGAGTATTAGCATAACTGTGTTCTCCATCTCCCCCCTTCATGCTAAGAACCCCCATGTTAAAGTCCCTATAATATATAACAATTTGATTTGAGTAGATTAAAAACAAAATTTAACACAAAAGGGATGCAAGAAAAAACAGGACCTTGTGGGAGACAATGATAGATGGACAAACCTTTGAATTGTATTTTTGCAAGATGAAGTGTGAATATTAGATCTATGACTGTCTAGAACCATATATATACACATAATTCATCTTGCAAGAAACTGCATGTGTGTGTGTGTGAGAGTGTGAGTGTGGGCTTTTCCATGAATAAATTGTATTTCATTTTTGGTTTTTTCTCACCTTCCCAAATTATTAATGTCATAACTCATAAAACGAATATCAATTGTACGTGAGAGTATTTGCAATACGTGGCAAGAAAGATTGTGGAAATTAAGAACTATCTATTAATGGATTTTCTTGTCCAAAAAACCAAAATGAAAGGCACAAGTATTGAATATTTTTATTCTTGTAATTTAATATTTCAACATGCATGATTCATTTATGTAATTTGTTATTTTATCTTTACGCATCTTTTTTTTTTGGGTCAAATCTTTAGGCATCTAATTCATTAAAAATACTTTCATTTATGGCATATTAATTTGTAATTTATTAGTTTAGGACCCAAAATAACAAAAAAAAATATGAAAATGAAATTTAAACCGTTTTTTAAAATTAAATTGAAAAGGTTATTATTATATGATTTCCCCGATTTTTGTTAGTTTGTGTATTAAACAAAAAAATTCTTACATATTATTAAAAGTGAACGGTTTATTAATATTATGACTACTGTGATGAGAAATATATGAATGAATCCCGATTTTGTTAGTTTGTCTATGTACTAGAAAATCAATATAGGTTTAGGTAGAATATGAATTAGTAATTAGTACATGCTAGAATTGTTGGGATATGAAAAAAACTGATTATTTTATAAAATTGTGATCATTTAATGTCTTACTTATTGTTGTATAAATCAATAAAAAATATTATGTAAAAACTTTTTTTTTCCAAATTGTCAATTGAGTTGGTGGGAATTAAAAATGTTAATGAATTATAAATTTGTAAGTGTGCAGCTCGTTATATATTTTTTATTGAGTAGATTATAAGAAATGATAACATAAAATCAAGAAAATGGTAGATGTGACATATTGTCATCAAATAATGATTTTTTATAAAGATTTTGCATTTAATTTCATTTAACTATTACGAGAGAGATAATTTGTTGGGAATTTGGTCAACTTTACTATATTTTCAGAAAAGTTTTTTCTTTCTACCACATTTGATTTTTTTATATTCATGTGGTATTGTGGTATTTTAAAGACTTTTTTGCCCTCAACTTATGAGAAAAGTACAACAAGAACTAGAAATGGGGAACATAAGCATTAAATGTGTGCAGTTGTGTAGTTTTGTGTTAGAGAAGAAATACAACTTTATGATCTGAACTTCTCCTTGATATAGTTATATTAGTCATTCGATCTAAAACTTGTCTCTGATCTAATTCTATTACTCATTCGATCTGAACTTGTCTTTGTTCTAATTATATTACTCATTCTACACGGCATGTCCCCTAAATATTTACACAAGTTAGTTTTCGCTTTTCCTCAAAACATTTATACTTTACCGGGGACAAGTTCGCAAAAAAATTTCTCAAAATATTACGTCCAATACCAGGGGCAAGTTCTTTACAAGACAACGTCAAGATTCTTCAATTACGTCCACTAGCACCATACACTTTAATCTCTGTTTTCCCAAATATGTATTAGTCTAAAATAAACATTCACTTAAAAATTAATTAAAAGAATCGCACTACTTTTTTAGTATTATGTATTTACCTTTTAGGTGTTTTTACTAGACTATATATGTATATGATCAAATATATGATTTTAGGTATTAAAAAGTAAAAAACTATGTAGGTTCTCACTTCTCACTCGTTAAACTTGTAAAATAAAAAAAAAGTCTTCTACGTTTTTCTGGACCCACGATTTTTATCTTTGTTATCAATTTTTTTTTAGTGAATTTGCTCAGAGAAGTTATTAGAAAAAATATTTAAGAAAATAACATTAGTAAGGAGGGTCATAGACGACGTGAAAAAAACAGTTGCAATGGGACTTGAAATTGGTAATAATTACGAGAATATCAGCCACTGTTTACGTCATGCACGTGGTTAAGGTTGGTGTCTCTTGAGAGAGCCGAAGGAACAATCTTCCATATAAGAAATGTTTCATGTTGAACTGACATCGCCACATAGACAAAAGAACGAATCGTTAATAAATGCAACAGATCTTAACTCGAGCTAACTTAAATTTGAATATAGAAAACTATTATAGTTGCATGGATACTCAATAAATAGTTACTTTGAATTTTTTAAACAACTAACCTAGTTGCATGGTCACCCAATAAATATTTTACACGATTTTAATATTTGTATACAAATAAACACATACATATATCTGCATTTATACTTGGTAGATCTATTTGTGAAGATCCAAAAAATGTTTTAGATCCTTATTTGTATCGTGAAAGTTATCTTTTCTGATGAATAAAAAAATGGCGGTGTAAATAAGAAACACGATGTTGTTTTTTTTATCGGTTTGAATGAATTAGAACATAATAAGAGAGAGATGAACATGAGATATGCATCTCTACTTTGTAGATCTATTTGTGAAGATCCAAAAAATGTTTTAGATTCTTATTTGTATCGGAAAAATTATCTTTTCCGATGAATAAACAATGGCGGTGTGAATAATAAACACGATGCTGCTTTTTTATCGGTTTGGATGAATTAGAGCAGAGTTGAGAGAGAGATGAACATGAGAAAATAAATAGGAAATGGGCCAATTTCCAGGAGAAGACAAGCTTCGAGGAGACATCGAGCAATTTCCCAAAACACGGCCGAGTCAATTCAAGCTTCGTCGGTTGTAAAGCCTTAAGGACAATTTTAATCGTGTGTAGCTTGAAGTACTGGTTAACACGCTCACCCACATGTTATTCTCGATCGGAAAATAACATAGCATGAAGGTTTAGATCTGTCATGTTCCTGAAGGAAAAAGTGAAGATCTTCATTAGTTATTAGACCAACCAGAAAAATTATGAACATGCAAACACGAAATTATAGATCTATGCTGATTTGTGAATGTCCAAACCAGATCTAAAAAAATAGGTAAAGAACTAAGTGGATATGGGAAGAAGAAACGACTAATATAGATAGTTCGAGTTTTTTTGCAAACGACGGAGAAACAATAGATATAAAACCAACGACGGTGACTAGGAGCATAAAAACAACAGAAATCGACCAAAGATTTCATTAGACTCAAGAAATCTCTGGAAAAACAGACGAGAGAAGCGGGATGTTGCAGAAGAGAGAGACTGGACACGCAAGAGTCAAAATACAAAGACATGCATTATAACCTCGAAAATAGCATAAACGAAGACAATTGTCTAGCGTAATTGGGCCAATTGTTTGCATAAATGAGAGAGGTGCGTGGGGCTAAAATCGAAAAAAAAGATGGCTAATTATTATCAATGTTTCGGTCATATAACCTAATACCAAAAATTTAAATACCCAAAAAAATTGCGTCTCTCACCTAATTATTATTTTTTTTTTTGGAAGAAAATTTCCTCTTGCTTAATTTTTGGATGAAAAAATAGAGATTCTTCCACTTTTTTTTTTTAACTAGAGTTACAGCCACACTTTAAAAGTAAACACACATATGTTGTTGTCCAAAAAAAAGTAAAAATAAAAACACATATACCACATACGTGTATATATATATATATATATATTATTTGATCGATGTAGATATGGGCAACGTGAAACACGTTATCATGGGCATGATTAAACCACTACGTAATTAATGTTTCACGCTAACCTTAATGATTCTTTGAACCACTATGTGACGTCTGTTACGTCTCTCAGAGTCTCTCTCACCAAATTGGTCAACTAAGTAGGTGTAAATAAAAATGTTAATGAATTGTAAGTGTGCAGCTCGTTGTATATTTTACTGAGTAAGTGAGTTTGTATACAAAAGGAAAAGAAATGCTGCAAAAAAAAAGGGAAAAACATATTACAAAAAAAAAGGGTAAAATGGAAAGAAATGGCAATGATATGATATATTTTGTTTACAGTTTTTTCTAATTTTGTTTTTCATGTTACGAAAGGGATAATTATTATACAATGCTTTAAATTATCGTATGAAGCTCTAAATTGTCTCATAAACGTCTAGGTTATCACATATACATACATTACATATTATATTCTTTTGTTATATAGATGACTAACTTATCGGGTGCGTGTTAAATTCTTTAACAAACACATACATTACATATTATATATATATATATATATTTTTTTTTTGTTATATAGATTACTAATTTATCGGGTGTGTGTTAAATTCTTTAACAAACAAAAATCAGGTGAACGTAAAATTTTCACTTAAATTTTCAAAATTAGCACGAAAACTAAAATTAAACCACATAATTCAAAACAAAAAAAAAATCAAAAAACAAGATGATCAATCCAATTTTAGAGTTAGGAATATGTAAATCGAAGAAAACAAGAATAGAGAGTTTCAAATAACAATCAAGTCATCAATTCATTGAATCCGCTATTTAGAATCCTAAAACGCAATTAAATGAGTAGAAGATTACTCACACATAATAAAAAGAACAAAGCAAATTAATGATGAAAATTTCTTACAAAGGAGAAGACTCTCAACAAAAACTTAGAAAAGAAAGCGTAACGGGTATTTTACTCATTATAGAAAATAGAAAGCATAAATAACCAAAAATGAAAACAACATAAAGTTGCCAGAAAGAGCGACCAGTCGATCTCTTCGTCTTTAATTTTCTCGTTCTTTCTCGACCCGGACAAGTCCATAAACGTATATTTCCAGCATATCATCTTTAAACATGGACAAGACTCAAGATACAACCAAAAAGGCACAAAAACAAACTTTGATGCAACAAAAGATTCAACATGAATACAAATGAGGTCAATGAAACACTAAAAATATCACTTCTTATAATGTCTTTTTAGTTTAAGAGTTGCTCTGATCCTTCTCCTCCCCACTTTCTTATCCTACCCTCAGCCATTGCAGCCTACACAAGAAAACATATCAGTAACATTAGGACACATTGAAGACTCTGAGTTTAGAAATCTCATCATTGCCTTTCATGTTATTGACTCACCTCTGTGTCCCAATTTGTTCTGCAGATCATCCATGTTAAGACTATTGTCTGAACCACGGTTCCCGTCAACATTCCGCACCAAATTCCCTAACACATCAAAGATTTTTGCATTATCGGTCTTTTAGTTCTTGGTTTTTTTTCAATGGTTAGTTGAAAAGGAAGATTCAAGCTTTCATTACCATTACACCAAAGTTAAGCTTGTATCCTAGTAACAGACCAAATGGGATTCCAAACACGTAATAGCAGACTATGTTAACGTACGCCACGACTGCTTGCCATCCAGCTCCCACAGCTACCCCTGTGTTCATTATCATATTTCCATCGGATTCACTAAACTTCTTAGAGCATGTTTAGTAGGAGTCTTTCATTGAGTCTCTCACAATTAAAGATATTAAAAATAATTTTTCTTTTAAAAGAGGCCAAAATCAGTTTTCATTTGAGAGATTTTAAAAACCCCTTGGGACACATATCTCTTCCTAAGTGGTTTAAATTTTCTTACGATAAATCAAACCCATAATAGTTTAAAAAATTAATTCAATAGTTTAAATGCATGTTATTATTTTTTGTTTTTGTTTTTTTTTTATAAATTATAAAATAAAATTATCTATCTAACAAGTTTCATTATGCTTGAGTTTAAATTATATACTTTTAATAAATATTAGTTAAATTATAATAATAATAAATTGATATTATCTTAGTGAATACACAAATTTGAAGTTGTATACGTAAGAATTTAAGAAATTAAAATCTATTTTTTGATATTATTAAATTCATATATTATATAAGCAAATGTAACTATTTAGTTTAACGGGAAGGTATTAAAAATGTAATTTAATATTATTTAAAACATATTAATTAGAAAATTTTCTAATTTAGGATAAATTTTATGATAAATATTAAGGTAAATTATATTTAAAATATTAAATTACGCTACCAAAATTATTATAGTGATGAAAGACTTGACGAGTGTCTCACCAATAGAGGAAACAAATCTTGAAAAAGTTCATGTACAAAATACACAAAAGTAATAATATTATATTGATAAGAGAGTTATCAATGCACATGCTTTAATAAAACCAAAAAAGTCTTCATGTCAAATAATAATTTTTAGCCAAAGACCAACCATGATCTAAGACGGAAACCGAGATTGTATGAAAACGAATTGAACTAGATATGTTTCTTTGAGATAAATATATAGATTGAGTACCTGATAAGACAGGTTGGACATTGTTGATGACAATGGAGAGTGCAAGTAGTGGTGTAAGATCTTTAACAACAATGATGACTTCTTCGTCTCCCACAAAAAGCGATGGATATTGATCTCTAAAGATGAGTAGAGCAATTGATATAGCAAGTCCGAGCAGTGTCGATGTTATCACTGCCACTAGTAGTGAAAATTTCGCGGTTCTTGGATGCTTTGCTCCTAATTCATTAGACACTCTCACACTGCACCATTTTGAGATTATGATTCACGTGTTTATATAATATATATTAATCTATATATAATAGCAATTTAATAAATACCATTTGCACATCTGAACGGTTGCGTCTTTTTATCGCAACTTTTCGTTTAAATCGGTTATTTTTTACGGTTATTTTGGTTGCGTCTTTTTATCGTAATTTTCGTTTTAATTGGTTATTTTTTTACGGTTATGTCGTTTCCAATAAATACCATTTGTACATCTGAACGGTTGTGTATTTTTATTGCAATCTTTCGTTTAAATATTTATGGTTGTTTTTCTTACAGTTATTTTTGTACGGTCATGTTGTTTTATTGAATTTCTTTTTACGTAAACCAATAAACTACATATAAAATTGGTTTATTTTATAGTTTACATATGGATATATTTTTAATTTTTAAACTGAAATTTATATTTTACGGATATGTTTTTTAGAAAATTGCAATCCGAATATCTTCTGCGGTTGCTTCTTTTTATTGTACCTCTTCATAAACAGTTGCAACTTTTTATTCGAATTATTGCAATATTTAGTTTATTTCACGAACAATTGCAACTTTTAGTTTATATCACAAACAATTGTAACCTTTGATTTATATATTTAGTTTATTTCACGAACGATTGCAACCTTTGATTTATATATTTTGTTTTGTATTTCACGAACAATTGCAACCTTTGGTTTATTTTACAAATTGCTATAACATCTAATTATCTACTGTCGCGTCTCTCGGTATAACTTTCATAAATTAATATTTTTAGTTTTTAATTACCAAAATGCATTTAAATGAGATTGTAATCGTTTAATTGAACCGTTGAAACATTTGGTTTATTTGACCAATCATTGCAATTTTTGGTTTTGTTTTACGAACCATTGTAATCTTTAGTTTATTTGACGAACTTGACGAACCGCTACAACTTTTGATATATCGCAATATTTCATTTATTTCTTTTTAAACTAAAAAATTATTTTACGTTATGTTTTTTGAGAAAGTTGCAATCCGAGTAAATATTTTTTACGGTTGCATCTTTTTATCGTAATTTTTCATAAAATGATTGCAGCCGTTTAGTTGAACCATTGCAACATTTAGTTTATTTCACGAAAAATTGTAACTTTAAGTTTATTTTATAAATCGTTATAACATTTAATCATCTACCATCGTTATTATTAATTTTCGTTTGATATTTTTTTAACGATTTTTGAAATATTTTCCCCCGCGACATCGTGGGGGTCCGGAGTCCTAGTCATAGTAATACCGAAGAGAGGTTTGTTTAAAAACAAAAGTTTTACCTTATGGCTGCGTTCATCCCAATAGCAATCATTGCAGTCCATCCCAAAATGTTCATGCTTCATTTTTAATATCATTACAAGACCAAAACAAAAGAATTAGAGGCAGTGGCTATATGATTAATCATACTATTTTTAGAGGATACGAATTGTATAAATTTTAATTACAAAGAATTTAGTCAATTTACTATGATTAATATAGGTGTTGAATCGATAAGTGTAGTGGGTCAAAAAGGAAAAATTTAATTACCAACTACTAATTCTTTTGACATTTTTGTATATTGATAATTTAGAATGATTGAACCAAGGTCAAGTGACCCCTTTTCTACCGTAGTAGGTTTTTCGCCCATGATTAATTTTACTTTTAAAATTTCTTATTACGATACAATATTTGTTTTAATGTTTATATGTGCTCCCATGAATAATTACTGTTGAACAACCTGTGGACACATTCGAAACAGTCGATTTTGTATATATATGTATAATTACTAGTACTGCATGACTAAAAATAAAATATTGCAGAAAAAAATGGAACGAATAATAATAAAAGAAAGAATCATACTAATATTAATTAATGCAGCAAATTATTTTGATAGATAATTATCATATTAATGCAGCAAAAAATGACTAGCCACTAGCTAGGGTTTCACTGCTCAAGAACCAACGAATAATATAAGTCAACTACGTACGCACGACGACGAATTATATTAGTGCTAATTCCTAGAGATTTTTTTTTTTCTCATAAATAGATCCTAGAGATTCTTGATGAGAATTTTCTAAAATATAAAAACTGAACAAATCAAACAACAAATCTTATAAACATTATTAATTTGAAAATATACTAATAAATTAGAATTTACCAGATGGAGAGAGCGGCTACGGAGATCTCAGCATTCTTCAAATATCCAGCAAATAATATGACTGCCATGAGATACCACACCTCCAAACTTCCAAAGTAAAAATAAACAATGTAACAATAAATAATGATCATATTATTTTCATTATAAAAATTTAACAATCGAGTCGTATGGGTTAGGTATTGTGACTCACCAAAGCATAACAGCAGAAGCCAAAGATAATCTAACGAAACTCCACAAATTATGGAAAGCTTCCCACGAGAATCCAGACCAAGCTTCACCACATGTGCCACTAAATATGTACACGAGCTGTGCCACGACAATGAACCACCACGAGGCGTTAAGCACGACGGCTAGACCCGCCGTGCCCCACTGGAGCCCCTCAATGACAAACCACGTGAGGAGCACGTGTAGAACAAGTGCAACCGCTGATATCGCAGCCATGACCATGATTTTGCTTTGTGATTGCAAGAATTTAGCGGTTGGGTAATTAACGGCGTAAGCAAAGATTTGAGGGATCATGTAGATGGAAAATATTCCCGTGGCGCTAGAGATCGCCGGCGTCTGGCCGATGAACGCGAGGATTGGAGCGGCGAAAATGTAAAGGAGAGAGAGTAAAATCGCCGTCACGTTTAGTATCACCCATGATCGTTGCAAGTAAACGCCAAGCATTGACAATTTCCCTGCTCCAAACGCTTGTCCACATAGCGTTTCTAACGCGCTTCCCATTCCAAGCTAACGTTCACATTCGCACAATTATTTTTAACACTCAAAAAACAAAAACTTCTTGACAAAAAAAAAGTTTTGTTTTGCAAAAAGATGAAAAAAAAATTATATTTCTAACTTATAAATATGGTTTCTGTTTACTATATAGTATATATACTTTTACTACAAACTGAAAAATCACGAATTCATTTTTTTTTGGCGTTTCTCTGTTTACATTTACCATAATGGTTTATTTGTTACACGATACTATTTATTTTAAAAAATTATTATATATATTTTTGCTTTTGTAACTTTTGTGTGTTTGATTTATATTTTCGAAAATGATCTTTTATACACCAAAACATTTTTGAATGATTTAAAAAAAAAAAAAAAAAATTTGAAAGATTTGGAGTTATATCTCCCAAAATTTGGATCTTGTGTGTTTTAAAACTAATATTAAATTCAGCACAAACCAAAAAAATGTCCACAAGGGTGAAAATAATTTACCATGACGCCAAATGAGAACCCGGCGATGACCGAGTTTTCGACGGAGACGGCGGCGAGAGCGATGGTGCTGATGTGTCCGGCGAAGACCTGAGTAGCAGCACCAAGAGAATACTGAGTTATCGACATGAAAATAGCTGGCCCGGCCAAGTACCATAGCTTTTTGACCTCCACGTTAAACTCCCTGAGGAAGCCACGAACGGTGGTGATCGGAGAAATATCTTCTACGGATGAGAAAGGAAGATGAGGTCGTTCTTCCGCCGCAGGTAGAAGGGTCTCCGTTAGATTTTTGTCTTTTTCCATGTCGACGAGATAGAGACAGAGATGGAAAGATTAAAGAATGTCAAAAGACTAAAGACCAAAGAGTGAGAGGATCTTGGGATTAGTCGTCATACATGAATTATATAGAAAATAAGTTCTATTTCTATTTTTGACACAATATTGAAAAAAAAAAATATATTTGTATTTTCACGAAATAAAGGGATAATAGCATTTCAATAATTTAATTGCCCAATGTTAAAAAAATATTGATGTGTTGATAAAATTGATGCAGCGCGCCCTTTACCAGTTTAAAATTTTAATACGAACACGTCATTCGGTTAATTTAATCGTGCACGACAAGTAAGATTTTTATGTTTTTTTGGAACAGGTTTAACTTTTCTTTTATATTCATGAAACAAAAATCTTAAGATTAACTAAACAATTTAATTTGTTTTTGAAACCTAATTTTCTCTAAGGTGACGATTTATATTCTTCTTTAATCACCACCAAAAAGTCAAAACTTTATCATAATCGGGCAACCTCTTTTGCACTTAATCTCTGAAACGAGCTTCTCCTTCTTTCTGATGACATGGATGTTGATGTGGGCATCCTAAATCGAAAGAAGACTCTCTAATTATATTTATAGATTATAACCATTATTTTTATTTTTCTTCTTTCCCTATATAATTTAATTAGCCATGTCAATCGGGCTACCCCCGGTCCGGCCCGGCCCGAAGCCCGCAAAACCCGCATCTGTTTGAGCCCAGCCCGGCCCGTAAAAATTCTGAACCTAGATTTTGAAGTCCGAACCGGTCCTAACAGGTCTACAAGACTTTTACGAACTTTTTTGGGCTTTTCTTTCGATAAAAAAACTTTAGAATTTGTAATATCTTTTAAAAAAAAGAATCTATGTATAAAAAGAGTCAATCGAAATTTAAATAACCACTACAGTCAATTTAATTTTTAAAAAAGTTTAAAATCAATAAATAATCCAAATAAATTGTTTAAATCCACACCAAATAAAGTATAAAATCAGGACACTTATAGTAAGACACAATTAGAAAACTAGGTTTACTTACCAAAAAAAAATTAGAAAACTAGGTTTAGGATTTTTAACTCTATTTAAAGAAATCTTTAAACAAATCTCTCAATTAAACGATAATATTAAAAAAAAAGTCAAAAAAATTTTTTAAAGACTTTTCGGGCCGGTCCGAGTATAATTTGATTGACATGCCTAAATTTGATTACATGTTGTAAGAGTATAATTATTTAATTATTAAATAATTTTGATTGATTAATTATAATTATCTTTTTTTTTTCTTTTGAGATCCAATTTGAATATTTTAAATGTTAAATATTTAAAATGAGAACATTTATCTATTCATTTATTTATGAAAATTTGTATTATTCTAAAAATATTTTTAACAAAGTTTATTTTTTGTCACATAAATTCATTTTTATCATAACTAAATAACTAATACTTATAAAAAATATTTAACAATAATAAAAATAATCATCACCGTTTCTACAATTGTTTTTGTTACCAATCAGATTTTAACATCCAAAGTCTTTATAGTCAAAATGTTTACAGTCAAAGTCTTTACAACTAAAATCTCTATAGCCAAAGTAACAGTCGTTATTAGTTTGACTTTTTATTTTTCCCAAAATATTCACTTAACGCTAAACATGTTTCATTTTAAAAATCTACCGTGAAATTCAGCAATCTATATATGAAACATGTACCAAAATCATTCCTACCAAATTTACATGTAAATTGCTGTAATGTCCAAAATCGCTTGTTCCATTTATTATTTTATATAAATGGTTAATTATTGTTGATCATAGTTTCAAAAATCATCCAAGAGAGCATATTCATGGAAATATGTATTATTAATGATTTTAGCATATTTTGTTTTTGATAACTAGAAAATAATCTGAATGTTTACTACTCGACTAAGAGTGAATGTAGCTGTCGAATAATTTATAACAATATTTTAATGAATTTGAAATATGACACCATGTTTTAACTAGGTAAATGAGAGTGGTTAGATAATTCGGCGCTAGAAAAGAATTTATATAACATGTTTGTTACTTAAATTGTCACTTTCGTAATTTATAAGTGCAATCTGAAAATATGTGGCATGATTGATACAAACAAAACGTGAATGCAATTGAGAAATGCCCTCTATTATATGTCAAATAAAGTTCGAACAACTACATAAGTAATTTTTAAATATTTGAAGTAACTTTTTAAAAATCTACTTGACATTGAAAAATAAGAAAGATGAAAGATTCAACCATTCATTTTCACTGACATGACATCATATGAAATGATAAACTAATCGTTCTATTAAAATAAAGATGGATTTATTAACAAAATATATTTACATAATTTCCGTTCTTTGTTCGTCGGATCATGGAGATCTTGTTCAAATCATGGATCATGTTCCATGTAGTTGGGAAAGAGCTAGAGTGACCAATACGTATTACGTACCATAGAAGCATTTTAAACAGTCGCATAGTGAATGCATTCAAAGGTTTTAACAAAAAAAAAAAAAAAAGACAAACTCAAAGACCAATGGGCCAATTCTCTCGTTAAGCATAGATCCTCTCAGCCCATTAACCCAAAGAATAGAGTTTCTTCATATTCGAAACTTTAAAAAAATGAATTCAACGTTTCACAAAAAAGAAAAGAAAATGAATTGAACCAAAAAAAAAAAAAAGTCAAACACGAACCCTAAAATTTGGGTGATTTTATTCAATTTGATCATCATGATTCACAATCTTTTCAATTTGGTCATGAATTATGAAGTTTATAATGGGTAATTCGAAAAATTCGATCTTTTAGACTAATTTTTGGAAATGGAGGAGAAGCTCGCGAGAAGAAGAAGGCTAGTGTTGGTTCCAGCTCCAGCTCAAGGACATATAACTCCAATGATGCAACTCGCAAAAGCACTTCACTTAAAAGGTTTCTCTATTACAGTTGCTCAAACCAAGTTCAACTACTTAAACCCTTCAAATGATTTGTCTGATTTTCAGTTTGTAACCATCCCAGAGAACTTACCAGTTTCTGATCTTAAGAATCTTGGACCAGGACGGTTTTTGATTAAGCTAGCTAAAGAGTGTTATGTGAGCTTTAAGGAGTTGTTAGATCAGTTATTGGTTAATGAAGAAGAAGAGATCGCTTGTGTTATCTACGATGAGTTCATGTACTTTGTTGAAGTAGCAGTTAAAGAGTTTAAGCTTCGTAATGTTATTTTAAGTACTACAAGTGCAACAGCTTTTGTTTGTCGCTTCGTTATGTGCAAACTCTATGCAAAAGATGGTTTGGCTCAACTTAAAGGTATATATAATTCTAACTATCGTTTTAAAACGCCAATTCATGTGTTTGCGTTTTAAAAGGATTGGTTTTTGCAGAAGGCGGTGGGCGAGAAGAGGAGCTAGTACCGGAGTTATATCCTATAAGGTACAAAGATCTACCAAGTTCGGTATTTGCATCTGTCGAATGTTCGGTGGAGTTGTTTAAGAATACATGTTATAAAGGGACAGCTTCCTCTGTGATAATCAATACAGTGAGCTGTCTAGAGATGTCATCTTTGGAGTGGCTTCAACGAGAACTAGATGTTCCGGTGTATTCTATAGGCCCTCTTCATATGGCGGTTTCAGCTCCTCCTACGAGTCTTATAGAAGAGAATGAGAGCTGCATTGAATGGTTGAACAAACAAAAGCCGAGCTCGGTGATATACATAAGTTTGGGAAGCTTTACTTTGATGGAGACTAAAGAAGTGTTGGAGATGGCTTCGGGGTTGGTTAGTAGTAACCAACATTTCTTGTGGGTAATTCGACCGGGATCCATAAGTGGTTCTGAAATATCTGAGGAAGAGTTGTTGAAGAAGATGTTAATAACGGATCGAGGTTTCATTGTGAAATGGGCACCGCAGAAGCAAGTGCTTGCACATTCCGCAGTTAGAGCGTTTTGGAGCCATTGCGGATGGAATTCGACTCTAGAAAGCCTCGGTGAAGGAGTTCCAATGATATGTAGACCTTTTACAACTGATCAAAAGGGGAATGCAAGGTACTTAGAATGTGTGTGGAAAGTAGGGATTCAAGTAGAGGGTGAGCTAGAGAGAGACGCGGTCGAAAAAGCTGTGAAAAGTTTAATGGTCGATGAAGAAGGAGAAGAGATGAAGAGAAGAGCTCTAAGTTTGAAAGAGAAACTCAAAGACTCTGTTTTAGCTCAAGGTTCTTCACATAACTCACTTGATGACTTCATCAAGACTCTGTAAACTCATGAATTATTAATGGGCCAAATATATATTTGTAAGCTCTAATGGGCCGTTTAGAGCCCGTTTATGTGAAAGAATCGCTAAAATTGAATCGAACACGAACACAAACCCTAAAAATTTGGGGATTTTTCGATTTGAGCACAATTTTGAAATTGGATAAAGAAGAAATGGACAATCACAATGAGGAGCCAAGAATCGCACCAGAACCTAATCGTTGGTACAATATAACGTTAGGACCATCACTACTCAACAACAATCACTCATACTCTCCCAAATTCTGCACTTTACGATGTAAGTAACAATTCTCTTACTGGGTTTGTTTTGTTTTCGAGATTGAAATTAGAATTTCGAAAAATTTCTGGTATTTTTTTCTTTTGTTTATGTTGGATTTTGCTTGCAGATGAGTTTAAACCGGCATCAATTGATGATACTAAACCGGGATTGTTACATAAGAGTAAAGATAATAAGGTTATGTTGGAGTTTCAAAACAATCAAGTTAATAAAACCAAAGTTAGATTTGATGGTGTTAGTGAGGATTTTAATGATAGAGATAAAGATGCAATTCTCTTCTTTGATGGCGAAAATTTTCGATTGGAGAAGCTTCACCGGGCTGTTAAGCGTTTAAAATACTTACGTGTTCCTGACGAATCCGCTGCGGCTAGTAGAGTAGTTACAAAGGTTGTTGTACCTCCAGTTGCAGACACGGTTAAACCGGTATGAAGTATTTTTTTTCGAGCTTTGATTAGTTAACGAAACGGGTTTTCGAGAAGTGTGACCGAGGTTTCTGTTTGTTTCTTCGGTGTTGCAGGTTAAGATGGCAGATATTGATATTAACAATCCTATTGAATTTGAGGAGGATGTGAACATTGATGATGGCGATGAACCAGCAAGAGAAGAAATTATACGGACAAAGGAGTTTCAAACTGGTGGCCTTGACATTGACATTAATCTTCCGCATCCTGCTGAAATGGAGGAGGATGAGATTGCAGTTGTAGATATTAATGATGACGAATCCTACAAAGGTCTGAACGCAGCAGAAGCACTCAGAGCACAAGTAAACGCAGAAGCGAGAGAGGAGTCTGGAAAGAGTTCGAGTTCAGGCAGCGGTAAAGAAAGTGAGAGCAGTGAAAGCGGAGTTGAGAGTAGTGGTAGTGGAAGTAGTAGTAGTAGCAGTGGAAGCAGAAACAGCGGTAGTGAAGGTGGAACTGCTAGCGAGAGTGGAAGCCGGGCTAGTCACTAGGTCAGTTATGTATTTTCTAGTGTTTATGCTTTTGATGTTAAGTTTTTTTTTGTGAACGAAATAGGGAATGTGGAATCAGTGTCTTAGCTTTAGGAGTTTAGCAATTTGCCATGTAAATAAATACTGTGTTGTTCAGTTCTCTTTTAAGGATCACACTGTTTCCATCAAGCTAGTTAGTTCTTGAAATCAAGTTTCATTTACGTAAGTTTATATAAAGCACAAAATAATGCACATTTTCTCAATCATAAGTAAGATGGATATCGCCGGGGCTGATACAAATGGACATAAGTGACTGTCATCTTCGGGATGTTGATCACTCACTTTCTGAATTTTCCTTGCCGGCCATTTCTGTGGTTGGCACGGACGTGTTTGGAGAGATCCTTGGATGAGCCGGTATAATTGCAGCCACGCATTGGGCAGGAACATTGTGCGAAATGACACTGCTTCTCATGGCTAGAGAGATTTGTGTATGAGACATTCTTTTTACACCCGTAACTGGCGTTTGGACATGACACCATTGCTGCTTCAATGACTTTCTCCATGGCTCTGCAACGAAATTCGTACCTAACCGGTTTTTGACAGGACGGGCAAATGTTCTTAATTTTTTTCCAGCACGAAGTACAAGCTAGATGACCATTAATACACTATAGAAAGTTTAAAAACCAGTGTTAGACTATCTCCAAATGTAAATCTCTATTTTTTACTCTAAAAGTTACTCGAAATATAGAGCAATCTTATTATTTACTCTATTTTGAAGTAAAATATAGGGTGGGGTTGGAGAAAATGTTATTCTATAATAGAGTCGGGTTGCAGATGCTTATTATCACAAACAATGGCTTAGTATATGATTATTATAGTCTAAAAGAGAAAAGAATCTAGTAACCTGATATATAGGAATCTTGAGGGGCTCGCAGCAAATGGGGCATTCGAGAACATCTTGATCTAGTAGCATGACAGAAGCACGGGCTAATTTTCTATTCCTCAGCATATCTTTTTCTAAATTCAATATATAAATGATCAAGAAAACATAAGCTAAAGCAATGAATAACAAGGAACCGATCGCGATTATAAACATGTATAAGGAGCCAAGATCAATAAAATCCATCATCAACATGTCAAGCTAAATCTACTCGAAAAATAGATTCGAGTAAGAATTTTTAAAGCTATTGATATATATATATTTTTTTGGTAATGTAAAGCTCTTTATATTTCTGATAATTGATTTGCTAGGTATTAAGATAATTATCAATATATTTACTTAGATATGATTCTATCAAGAATAGGAAACTAGTCTTAACCTATGGAATAAACACACTATGGTTATGTTATTTTCCGCATTAAGAAAAGAAAAAATGGTTTATGTCTAGTAGGGAATTTGTGAACTTAACCTATTTCTCGTAGGAAAGTTGAAAGGACAAATTCGGTTGGGCTTAAACAAAAGACAAGGAAATTAAAGGTTATTTGGAAACTTGCCTTTGAAGAAAAAGTGGGTTTGCAGAAGAAGTCAAATCCAATTAGGAAACTTGACATGTACACTTGGATAAGTCCTTTATGTTTTGGTTTTGGGCTTTAGAGTTTTCATGTAAGCGTAGCAGGGCTCGTGTTTCTTTGAACAATATGTCGAGAGTTCTGGCTGGGTTCGGTTCGGGTTTTTGGGTTTTTGGGTTTTCGCGTTTTCGGGTTTGGGTTCATAGACCATGTTCATGTATTTATAATATGCGGGTCGAGTTTGGTTCGGTTTCTCCTTATTTCAGTTCGTATCGAGTTTTACCTTTCAAGTTCGGTTTCTTCTGGGTCGGTTTGGATCCAAAATTATCCGGAAAAATATTCACTTTTAGATATAATTTGAAGTAAAATATTATGGGTCAAAATTAGAATAGTTCAAAATTATAACCAAAAATATCAACTTTTTACCAAGTTTTTCTCCCTTCATTGATAAAGATTGTTATGGATTTTTACCGGTGAGATCTTTACCCTTCTCATCCAGATGAGAGCGGTTCTACTCGGTTTGATTCGATTTTCGCTTCATGTCTCTACAACACAGATATAATCGAGATTGATCCAAGTGTTTCAAAGTCATGTTTCTACCGACATCTCCATCTCTGGATTATAAAGAAGGAATCCAAAATTTGCGATGTAAACTTAAACTTAACATCACTAAAGGAAACATTTGTTATCGGAGTTTTGATCAGTTCACGGCTTTTTCAGTAAGTCTCTTCCATGAATTTCAAAAAAAGGAAAAATATTAAAAACGGACCAACTCTACAAAATTTTAAGCGCAAAAAAAAAAAACTTTTGTATTAAAACGCAACCGTTTCAATAGAATAATATTTCATGTTTCTATAATTTCTCTGGTTCCATCATCTCTCCCATTTGATCGGAACACAATGTCTCAAGCTTTACTAAATTTTCAAGTTCCTCCTTCTTTCTCAATCCCCAAAACCCTAATTCACTCTCACTCCCTCAAAACCTTAAAGAATCCTAAACTGAACTCACGAAAATTCCTCTTACAATGCTCAGTTTCTTCTTCCGACGGACCCAAAACCTTAAGAACTTGCAAAAACTGCAAAACCCAATTCGATCCTCTCCTGAATCACCCACGCGCTTGTAGATTCCACACTGCTCATTTCGGAGGTAAAATTCGAAAATTCACTCTCTGATTTCGGAACAAGGTTTAGTAATGAAGAAATTTTGAATTTTGGGTTCTTTTTTTTTTTAGGTGAGACAAAGAGGAAATTTGAGAGTGTATATACTGGTGGAACAATGGATACACCAAATTCAGGAAAAGTGTTACAATATTGGCATTGTTGTGGTTCTGAAGATCCTTTTGATTCTGGTTGTACTGCTTCTCCTCATGTAACATATGATGATTGATTCTGGAATATTATAAAAATTTGACATGAAGAAGAAGAAGAAAGGAAAAGAATATTGTGTAAAAGTTATCTTTATGTATTCTTTTCTTGCAGAGAATCTTTTGTACAAAACAACATTTTTGTGATATGAGATTCTTGTTTTGTTTTGTCCAAACTTCTAACTTTGCTTCTCAAGTTTCCGTTAGTTTGCTTGATGTCTTGTCTCTTCTTTGTTTATTGTTCATGTTTTGATGATAATTCCTTATGATGTTGTTGTATCTGATTGATTTTCTCTGACATTTGGTTTCTATATATCATTGGAGTTTTTGGTTTTTCTGGTGGTAAGAGTTAGGATGGGAGATCATTTAGTGTTGGTGGTTGATCGGTTATCAAGCGATTCGGGAGTTGGGACGGTGAACCGAACAGAGGTTAAAACTGACTTGGTTAATGGAGATGGTGCACCTGAATCTGTATCTGCAGGAGCTGATTTATGTGAGAGTAAATTCGTACAATGTAGGATTTGTCATGATGAAGATGAAGATTCCAACATGGATACGCCTTGTTCTTGTTCTGGAACATTAAAGGTTCTGTCTTTAGTTTGCGTTTTTTTCCACAAACAGCATCCTTTCTGATTTTTGATTCTTATTGTCATCAACTTCTTGCAGTTTGCACATCATAATTGCGTCCAGAGATGGTGCAATGAGAAAGGTGATACCATATGCGAAATTTGTCGTCAGGTAATAAATGATATATCGCAATGCAATCATATAGTTTCTTGATTCTTTCTCTGTTTTGATGAACCTTGTTCAAATTGCAGCAATATAAACCTGGCTACACAGCCCCACGACAATTGTTTCACTACACAGGCATTTCTATGAACTTCAGGTACTTTTGGTCGTCTTTCTTTGGGATCCTCCTTTGTTCCTCTGCACAATGTAGTAATCCTACTGAGAATCATTTTCTTTTGATGGAAACATCCAGTAGCGATTGGGGAATCGAGGGACTAGATCTTCGTAATCCTTATTTCCTAACGTGGGGGCATGCAGATGATGATCAAGATCTTTACTCATTTCATAGCCCCACAAGCTTGATTTGTTGCCGCGTAATTGCCTTGCTAGTATGTTTCTTCTCTCTGTATCCTTGAGAACATATAGATCCAAAATTCTGTTTTGAACACAATGATTTTTTCATCTTTCGTGTGCAGTTCGTCCTTCTGCTCTTCCTGCGCCATTCTCTTCCAGTTTTACTAGGTGGAGTCGATGATTTCTCGTTAACGTTGCTCATGGTAAGCTCGATACAAAGCTGTTTAAACATACATATATCCTCTGTTTTCCTGATTTATAGAAAGATTTTGTTGTCTTTTGCAGTTACCATTAGTGAGAACGTTAGCAATATTGTTGCTTGCATATGTATTTGTCAAGTCATTCATTGTTATACAACGTTGCAGGCAAGAGAGGGTGAGAAACAATATTCTTTGAATTCTAAAATATGATCTTGTCTTGATATTGAAACCTAAAACATGTTTTGGGTGATGTGAAGCTATATAACTTGTTCCTTTATTCTCTATTTGTTGAAAAATTAGGATATGAGACTCTCTGGTTTCTCGTCTGATGAAGAAACTGCACCGCCTCGGATATCGATGGCATTGCCGGAAAGACCCGAACTTCATGTTCCCATAACCTAAGATGATCAATATTCAATATAACTTCTCCTTATAGATGTTGTTTGATTTGTATAACATGAACACACATAACTAACCCACAGAATAAATGTTGGTATTCCAATTTAAAAAGCGACCGAGAATTGTGGTCGATTCACATGCTTCCATCTAGTTTCACAAAGCCTTAAGAACACAAAGATCAACAAAGAATAACTCTCTTTATTAATCACTTAGGAAAATAACTCAAAACCTAAGCACTCAATCTCTATTCTCAAAACTCATAAGGACTACCACACCTTTGGCATCTCTTATATAGAGAAGAGTTTTCCAATTCTCAAAAGTAAAACTTACATATTTAGATAACTCCTAAATAGTACTTTTCCTAATCTCTCTCAAAGATAACTTATTGTTCAAGTAACTTCAAGCTTAGGCCAACATTCTCCCCCTTAAGCTTGAAGTTATCTTCTCTCACATCTTGAACTCCAATGAGATCTCTCATCTCTTTGAACTTGATCCTTCCAAGTGCCTTTGTCAAGATGTCCGCCTTTTGTTCTTCACCGGGAACATGCTCCACCTCTACTTGTTCATTCTCGACGCATTCTCGTATGAAATGATACCTTCTATGTATATGTTTGCTACGTCCATGAAACACCGGGTTCTTAGTTAGTGCAATTGCCGACTTATTATCGATTCGTATTGTCACCCTCTCACAGCCTTTTCCGATGATTTCACTTAGAAGTTCTTGAAGCCAAATTGATTGTTTAGCCGCCTCCGTAGCAGCCATGAATTCGGCTTCACAAGAAGATAATGCCACCGTTTCTTGCTTTTGTGAACACCAAGTAATTGGACAATTATCAAGGTAGAAAATATGACCACTTGTGCTCTTACCATCGTCTATGTCAACGTTATGTGAGCTGTCACTGTAACCAACCAATTTTATCTTCTCCGAACGTTTAAACAAGAGACCAAGAGAGACTGTTCCCCGTAGATATCTCAACACCTGCTTCAAGGCTGCTCCATGAGATTCCCTAGGATCTTGCATGTATCTACTCAAAACTCCAACACTATAGGACAAGTCCGGTCGTGTATGAATTAGATATCGTAGACATCCTATGCTTCTTCTAAATTCCTTTTCTTCGATTGTCTTCTCCTCTTTAGACTTTGACAATTGTAAGTTTAAATTCATAGGAATATGAGAAAGATTGCAATCGTCCATACCCGTTTCTCTCAAAATCTTTTGAGCGTATGTTTCTTGCTTTAGACTTATCCCTCCTTCATGTTGATGCACTTCTATTCCAAGATAATAAGTTAGTCTTCCAAGATCACTCATCTCAAACTTGGTTGCCATCTCCTTTTTAAAAACGAGGATCGCCTTCATACAAGATCCCGTAACAAGTAGATCATCGACGTAAACCGCTACCACAAGTAGATACCCTTTCTCTTTCTTTTGATACAACGATGGTTCCTTTGAGCACCTCTCAAAGTTTAATTCCCTAAGAATCTTGTTTAACTTGTCATTCCAAGCTCTAGGTGCTTGTCTCAACCCATAAAGAGCTTTACTCAACTTGTAAACTTTTTCTTCACTTCCTTCTACCACAAAACCTTCGGGCTGTTGAACATAAACCTCTTCTTTTAATTCACCATGGAGAAAGGCGGTCTTGACATCTAGGTGATGTATTTCCCAGCCTTTTGAAGCTGCCAAAGCAATAATAAACCGAATAGTTTCAATACGAGCCACCGGAGCAAACACTTCATCGAAATCAATTCCATGTCTTTGAACATATCCTTTAGCCACTAAGCGTGCTTTGTGCTTATTAATACTTTCATCAGAGTTTCTTTTGATTTTAAACACCCACTTTAGACCAATTGGTTTTACTCCAATGGGAAGTTCAACCAAATTCCAAGTTTTGTTCTTCTCTATCGATGAAATCTCTTCTATGCACGCTTCTATCCATACTTTCGATTCTTTAGCTTCGTTATAGTCCCATGGCTCTTCATTTATCGCCATTAGAAGCCTTTCACACTCTGCCTCTGCCATAAGAATATAGTCACTTAGGTATTTTGGTTGCACTCTCGGCCTTTCCGATCTCCTTAACTGAGGTTGTGGCTGTTCTAGCTCATCATCCTCGATGAGCTCATCATCACCGTTGTTCTCTTCATTCTCTTCTTGATCTTCATTCAACATGTCCTCATTCACAACTCGAGTATCATGTGTGTTCTCCTCTGTTTCAGTTACTTCCTCTGTTTCGGGTATATCAATGACTTCTCTTATACCTTTATTACCAAACTCGCCTAGTTCAATAATGAAAGATCCTGAATTTCTATGAGCTTCTTTGTTCCAACTCCAACCTTTACTCTCATCAAATACCACATCCCGACTCACTATTATTCTCTTGGTTGTTGGATCGAGCAAACGATAAGCCTTTGATCCGGGCTCTGTTCCGAGATGAACTAAAGCTTTTGATCTATCATCTAGCTTCTTTCTTCCAACAATCTCTGTTCTTGCATACCCAATACAACCAAATACTCTAAGATGTGCAAGATCTGGCTTTCTCCCTTTAAAGACTTCATATGGAGTTGATTTTACTAGAGATCTTGTTGCAATTCTATTGATCAAGTAGGTAGCATGTCTCACAGCTTCTCCCCATAAATAATTTGGAACATTCATGTGCTTCAAAATACTTCTAGTCATCTCCAAGAGTGTTCGATTACGTCTTTCAACAACTCCGTTTTGTTGCGGTGAGTAAGGTGCGGTTAGATGTCTCTTAATGCCATACTTGTCGCAATAATCTTGAAATTCTTTGGACACAAATTCTCCACCTCTGTCAGTTCGGAACGTCTTGATCATGTGTCTTGTTTCTTGTTCAGCAAGTATCTTGAAGTTTTTAAACTTCTCAAAGGCTTCACGTTTTTCTCTCAACAACACAGTCCACATATATCGTGAATAATCGTCAATGAGCACAAATACATACCTTTTTTGGCCCGCAGTCGACGGTGTAATAGGTCCGCAAAGGTCTCCATGAATAAGCTCAAGAGGTTGAGTGGCTCGAAAACTTGTTGCTTGTGGAAAGGGCTGTCTTGTTTGTTTTCCCAAAAGGCACGATACACACGTTTCTTTTCCGACTACGAATCTTGGCACACCAGATACTAAATCCTCATTGATCATTGTTTTTATTGTGTCAAAATTAGCATGTCCCAGCCGTGAATGCCATTTATTTGACTCCGATGATGATATCACTTGTAAACACTGAACAACATCAACTTCCAATGTTACCTTGTACAACCGATTAGGAGACCTCGTTGTTCTTACTAACAATTGACCAAGTTTATCATAAAGCATCAAGAGATCTTCTTTCATGCGAACTTCACATCCTCCTTCTGTGGCTTGACCAAGACTCACAATATTGGACTTTAAATCCGGTATATAGTATACGTTCTTCAAAATCTTCAAGACTTTCTTCTCACCATCCCGAAATACGAACTTAACTGATCCTTTGCCCTTTATGTCGATACGAGAGTCGTCTCCAAATTTCACCTTTCCCACAATCGTCTCATCAAGACTCATAAAGAAGCTTCGATTTCCACTCATATGGTTACTTGCACCATTATCAAGATACCACACATTCTCAGCGTCAAGATTAGATTCAAAACTATTTGGTTTGACCTTGTTTTCGTTTAGATATACCACTTCATGCATCATCAACTCATCAGCCTCTTGTGTGGTCTCGTCCTTCTTCTCAACAGCTTCTTGAAGTTTAAGTAGCCTATCGGGACAATTGGATGCGTAGTGACCCTGTTTGTCGCATCGATAACAAGTTATCATTGCTTCTCTTTCTCGCCCTTGTCTGTATGATCCGTTTTGGAAAGAACCAAAACGTCCACGGCCTCTTCCTCTCCAATAATTTCGTCCTCCTTGTCCCCTACCTCTGTTATTTCCATAGCTTTCTTGTCTTGAATCTGTGTTAGCGTACATAAGTTTACCATTATCCTCTTGCTCTTCTTCTTCTTCACAGATTCTTTCTTCATAAACCTTTAATCTACCCACAATGTCTTCAAACGTCGTTGCATTAAGGTCGAGAACTTGTTCAAGAGATGCCACAATGTGTATATATCTTTTCCGCGGTAGTGATTTGAGAAATTTCTTCACAAGCTTTGCTTCGTCAATGGTTTCTCCTAGGGCTGCTGAATTAGATGAAATTTCAGCAAGTTTTCCAGCAAAAGCATCTACCGAATCTCCATCCTTCATCTTGATTTTATCAAATTCAGTCATTAAGGTTTGCAACCTCGCTTCTCTAACTCTCTCGGCACCAACATGTCTCGCCTTTATTGCATCCCAAACTCCTTTTGACGTATCATGCTCTCCAACTTGTAAAGTCAAAGATTCTGGGATAGATTGAAATAACAAAGCAATCGCCATATTGTTCTTGTCATCATCTTTGTTTCCAGTTTCAATCGTATCCCATACTTTGTTTACTTTGAGAGCAATCTTCATTCGCATAGCCCAGACTGTGTAATTAGCAGAGTTTAGCATCGGACACTTAACAGAGGAGGGTACAATCTCTTTGGCCTTGATCGACTCATCTTTCTCATCTTTCTCATCGACGTCACTCATCTCTTGTTTGACGATTTTGATCTTTGAAACCTAAAGAATCTCAAAACCGCTCTGATACCAAATCTAGTTTCACAAAGCCTTAAGAACACAAAGATCAACAAAGAATAACTCTCTTTATTAATCACTTAGGAAAATAACTCAAAACCTAAGCACTCAATCTCTATTCTCAAAACTCATAAGGACTACCACACCTTTGGCATCTCTTATATAGAGAAGAGTTTTCCAATTCTCAAAAGTAAAACTTACATATTTAGATAACTCCTAAATAGTACTTTTCCTAATCTCTCTCAAAGATAACTTATTGTTCAAGTAACTTCAAGCTTAGGCCAACATTCCACCAATCTCGTAATTCTTGCACTTTGTTGCATAGGCCTTTCCATAGATATGGACAACCTGGTGCAATCATGACGGCTACGGAACCTAGCAACAAGGGAGGCCGAAGTATAGGGCCAAGTGAGGAGAAACCGAATAGAGGAGGTCGAAGAAAATACAAAAGCCGAACGTGTGACAAT